TGCCATTTCTGTTCACATTTGCATTTCACATGACCTTTTCCAGCAGGATGTTAAAATGGTCACATTTTCTGAATCCTCGTTTGGTATTGAAGGGCAGCTCGTGAGCAGAACTGTTGTTGTAGATATTTCCAGCTTAAGATCTGAGTTCATTACCTTGGGCAAGCGTGATTATTGATCTTAAGCTTTCAATGTACGCTAAACGAAGGAGAATCCGATTCGGAGTGACTTTATTGAAATTTGGCTCTGTTTAGGTACTAAATATGAGAAGCAAGAATCGTATCTTGTATTAGTTGTATAAAAAATGTACTGTGATCCAATATGTAATATTATTGTACTATTTACTAAGTGTTTACATATGTAACCGTTAAGTTCAAATCGACTCCTCCGAACCATAGTATGCTAAGTCGACTTAGCATGTTCTAAAGTTCTTTACGTTTTTAGATACTACGGTCCTTAATTTAAATTCTCTGAAATTTTGGTAATCATCGGCCAATCCAAACCAAAGTTATAAGCAAAAATGTACTTAGCATGGCACGTAAGATATAAGAAACTTCCATACTTTGAGAGCTTCTACTGAAAAACTTACTTTTCAGACTTAGCATACTATTCTTCGGAGGCGTCGAAATATTTAAATGCTAAATGACACTTTACATTTTTTACATATCGTAAATAAAAAAATATGTACATGGAATAAAATCCCGAAAATGGCCTTTTGGCCTATTAAGCTGATAATGATACAATGGTGCGTATAACTACTGTCACAACGTATACCACCTATGGTACATGAGTTTCGTTTTCCCCGTTTTAATATCGTATTTAATTAACTTATGCCAAAACGGGAACATCTCTTTAACATGGTGACCAAATGTTTCTTTAACTCGTACTGGAAATTATACGTGGAAGTATGACTTAAAAAAAACTGCAAAATATTCCCGTGTCCTTAGAAAAATTCTTTAAAAACCCCATTAGAATTGTTTTAGATTGATTGCTAAACTCAAAAACTACTGCACCTATGAGGAGTGCTTCTGTGTAGTTTGAAGTTAATCCGACAGATGGCGTAATATTCAGACTTGCAGTGAAAATAACACTTGAAGGCAATGCAAGGTTTGCCCGGGTCAGCCTTCAAAATCTTGAAAATTAAAAACGTAAGTTCAAACTCTTGAAATTTGTGAAAAAATCGCATAGAAAAGATTATTTGGGTATTTTTTTAAATACCCATTAAACATAATTCGTAGTAATAATCCCAAATAAGTCGCGTGTTTGGTCTTTAAATCCTTTAAAATATTCCCCGCCAGATCAAACTGGTTACGCACTTAGCATAGAGCTTTGAACAAATCAATCGATCCTATATTCCTACGAGTGAAAATGTTATGTCTTTATACATTTCCACCTAGTTTATACCGTGAAATCTAACCATTAATAAAATGTATGTATTTCATAATTGATATTTTAATATAATTTATCCCATACTAGGTATTTTCTCAATTGTATAGGTTTAAAAAAAAAAAATATGCTGAAAAATCTGCCCGCGCAAAAGGTTAGCAAAATTATAAATTATAAAATCAATGCTCATTATTTATGTTCCAAGAAAACTAATGAACAACTTTCAATTTCCACGCAAACCAACAGTAGCCATAAACTTGACCTTTGAATGTAACATTTCACAGATGAATTCGTATAATTACAATTAACAAAATAATGAAATTACACATAATAGCATAAGGGCATACAATCATGCATTCAAAGCCTAAGCAAGTGAAAAGCATTGTAATAGCATACAAAAATTAAGAATATATAAAATTAGATTTTGGAAAAATTCCCTATTTTTGATCTCAAATAAGGAAGATCTTGACTGATTGCATTTATCCTAGTTCATACGATAGGCATATAGCAGAATAATGTGTTAAAGTTTGGAGCGGATTGGATTATTACCTTTTGAGTTATCGTGTCTCTTATACGTTTCTAATATTCGTATCCGTAATGGTTCTGGAATATTCGTAATTTTGCTTTTGGAGGTTTCAATAAAATAAAATTCTCCACGATTTTTTTTTTAATTTTTAGGGCCCCAGTTCGATTTTTCATATGTTGCAATGCTTCAGTATTTTGATTTCCCCAAGATATAAAAAAGCTTCTGTCAGACAATTTTTAATATGGGTCGATATTTTTGATATATAGGCCATGCTATATATTAAGTAATTCCAAGGCTCTAGCCACATTTTCAAACCGATGACACTATTTTGGGTAACGGTCTTAAAGAAAATAAACAGACAAACTTTCTCTCAGAAAATGGTAAATATAGGTTCAATCCTGGGCCCTACAAAGAAAAAATATTTAATGAATATTTTCATAATTTCATTCATAGTTCATTTTTTCCAAATTGTACAAGTAACTCGCTTAGAATACAAAATAAAAATGTTTGTAATCATGAGAAACCCACTATTTTCTTCCATAAAATGTACACTTTTCATTAAAACTAAAAAAAACTATTTTCTTTACTTCGCTCTACTTTACCACTATTTGCGCTCATTTTTTCATCTCTCTTTTAAGTAACAAAAGTGGTGGAAAACAACACCACCACTATTCGTTGTTCGGCTGTGTTTTCTTTTGGTATCGTCCTCCGCCTCCGTTTCTCTTGCTAAGAACAGTCGTCTCTGCACTTACTCGATAATTCGCATATGCATTTTCCAAATTATTTCGATATAAATACCAAATAGAATATATCAAACAAGTGTTGTTACTGCAAAACAAGTCCAACCGAATATTTAAATATCTATATGATTGTTCAAATAAAGAAAATCAAGAACTTGTAGGTAAATAAGTAAGAAATAAATGTGGGAAAATCAAAAACCCACAAAAACCGAAGACTGAGACAAAAAAAAATGATAATTTTTATATGGAGAATGGAATTGCAGCCAATTTGGTTGAATAACGAGTCCAAACTGCCCACAATACCAACATTTTTATGGAACTACCCTAATATATGAAAACAATATTGATGATTTTTAGTAGGAAGGTTTGTTACCCAATGCGAACTCAAAATACAAAATTACAGCCAATTCGATTGAGAACATTACTTTCGCCTAATATTGAAATTTACAGCCAATTCGATTGAGAACCGTGAACAAAATCTTCGAAATACAGAAATATTGCGAATTCTATCATGATTTCAAGAGATAGACATATATGAAGGTCAAGGCTAAATCGAGATAGAATTTTTCAAATTGGAATAACATCTTACAGCGGATGGTATAATAAAGTTCTAATAAAACACAGGCTATGATTTCTAAAGGAGAGGGCCGACGGATATATAGGTTGTGCAAGGTTTGGTACAAGTCAGGCATTCCTTTCGCCTAATATTGAAATTTATAATTATTGAAAAGTTTGATTTGCAGAATTGATCTAGGCTTGGTAATGATAATAGTTTGTACAAAGTATGGTATAAATCGGAAAGATATTATAAAATAAATTTTCAGCAAATTTTTGCCCCTTTTGTGGGGGAGGCAACAGAAGGAGTAGACTAATCTTTGAACTTGAACTAACATTGGAAGAAATATTACGATTTGTCTTCGCAATCGGTTACTCTCTTCGAAAGCTAGCTGACGCATCAGCCGGTCAGGCAGATAGACAAATCGACCCTAATTTGTCTGAAACGGATTTGGTCCGAAGGTCTAAAACAAATATTTCGATCAGACAGATTTTTGTCCTAAGGCTGAGCTCATAATTAGATTAAAATTCTCTTAAGGGGACCCCCCCCCCCCCATTCTCGGGGTCAGAATTTTTTTTGATTTAATTCAAATCTACACTAACTCAAGAATGTCCCCACAAATTTCAAGAGAAAAACTCAAGAACTCTTGAAGATATAGCCGATTTATTGTGTCAGCATCAAGTGACGGCTAAAGGGCTTCTCAAACTTTAAACGCGTTTTTTCTTTTGTGAATGGCGGGCACGATAACTCAAAAACTAATGACCCAATCGATTCCAAATTTGTACACGTTTCCCTGTGAGTGTATAGCTCTCGTATGAACTAGGATAAAGCCAATCGGTTTTTGGTAAAAAATCGGCGATTTTCGAAAAATATTTTTTCAAAGGTCCGCCATTTTGTTAATTTTAGAGCGAAGTCAATAATCCTATTTCATAAAGTTACCACTGTCCCCCAAGAATGTTCGTAGGGATATATATATTTTCCAAATTTGCAATGGTATTAGATTGATATACATTATTTGGATTCAACTGTACAATCATAACAAATTCACACACAAACACGCTCGTATACACCTATTCATTATAAATGTCAACAATTATTTGATTAAAATTTTAAATAAACAAAAATCATGATGTTTCAACATTAAAGAAACACAGCAAACCCCATTTGCATATTCAGTTGTTTACATTTAAACATATGGTATGGATATTAGCGGAAATTTTCGATGTCTTCCTGCTCCTCCTGCTGTTTTACTGTCTGATCAAATTTAAATTTAACAAAATAATGTTGAAATGAATTAATATTTTTCTATTGACATCTGGGTGGGTGGGCATATCAATCAACTAATATTCATATTTTTATTTCAAATAATTTGTTTAATGAAAATTTAACTCACAAAAAAATACTAATGAAAATAGTAGTAATCATAATAGGACAGTGATTTTTCCTTGGGTGTATGCAACCAATATAAACGGAATGTTTATCATGGACAGCAAATGAACAGATGGTCAGTAGTATTTAGAGAACGCCACAGAATAGACAGACGGTTGGTTGGTTAACAAAAAAAGTAAAAAAAAAAGAAATAGATGAAGCAAAACAAAACAACAGTAGCATAGAAAAAAAAACAACAACAACAAAAATAACAAATTGTCTATTACATTAAAAACAAATTTGATTAGAAAAAAAAACGTCTGGAAAAAATTGTTTATAAATTGTGCGTCGTTTACGTGAGAGTTTGCAATTTGATTTTGTTTTCCATTTTCGTAAACTTGTAACAACAAAGAATAACTACAACAACAAAAACAAAATTTGATCAACATGACAGCGCCAAGGAATTTATCCAAATATTTAATGATGGTCCGTCCAAATTATGATAATAAAAGAAAGGAGACAAGTAAGTTGTGGAATTTAAGAAAGAAAAAACTAAAAATAACAAAGGAACCCTTACCAGTCCCATAACAGAACTTCGCATTTTTATTAATAACAGCAGAAAGCAAAAAAAAAAAAAAAAAAACACTGTGTCATGCGATATGTTATGCCTATTGCGGTTTTTTCTATTTTTGTTTGTTGTCGTTGTTGTAAACATAAATGCTAAAAATACGACCACGCGGAGGCCATCTACGTCACACATAAGTTCAAAGGCAATTATCGAACGAAGGGGGAAATTTTCATTTTCTAATCCCTATTCTACTCGCACACACACTCGGACATTTTTTTTTTTTTGTGACATTAGCTAAATATTTAATGATTTTCCATAACAAAAAGGGGAAAAACTTGAACATTTCTAAACAAGTTTGAAGCTACAATCCTCTGTCCCTTTTTTCCAATAACAAATATATGAATTGGAGTTCATAAATTATGAATACAAATTATTAACCAACAAAATCGTATAAAAATTGTATGTTTACGCTACAACATAAATTACATGAACAAAAAACTCCCGATAATTTATTTCCCCTAACGTTTACAACAAGGAAATATTTAGCGTATTCGATTTCTAATTTATTATAAACAACAATTCCGATACTAGCGGCAAATATCAAATGGTTATTTTGTGTTTAACAGATGTAGAAATGATTGCCGACATTTTGTTACTCTACACCGTACAACGTGTCATTTAAAGGTACACATCAGTATAGAGGGCAACAATGCTAGTGACAGTAAATAATCCTGTAAGCAAGGTAGTATAGTCAAGCTGGGCCGACGCTGTGGTACCCTACAGAATTTTAAATTTCTGTAGATCTACAACTAAGTCTGAGTGGGATTAAAATTGTTCATTATACAATATGTCACCAATGAGTTTAATGGATAATTATTAAACATTTTCAAATGTGAAATCTCGAAAAAACACTAATTGCATAATTTTTGATATTTAATTCAGTCGATGTAGTTGGAGAAAAGTGTGATCCAATTATCGGAAATGTTACACAAAAGATAATTTACAATGTATTAAAACGAGCAAAACCAGTAAGGGAAGTAGTAAAGTCGGACTATATGATACCCTTCACCACTATGGGTATATTAAACGAATGCATCCTAACAGAAGGGCCATTAACATGAAATTGGATGAACTAAAATATGTGACCTTTATCTAAATGTGAACCGACTTAGATCAACCCATTCGTCTGTTACAACCGATTTCAACGAAACTTGTCACAGGTTAGATTGTTCCTAATGGCCATATTTTGGGTCCTACTGAAAATCAGACGAACATATATATATATATATATATATATGAGAGCTACATATAAATCTGAACCGATATTCAAGAAATTTTACACACATCATTCTAGTCTCAATCCAGTACGCTATGCCAAATTTCGTGCAAATCGGAAGATATATAGGTACTTTGCATACCATTTACCTAAAATCGGGCGAAAATATATATGGGAGCTATATCGAAATCTGAACTGATTTTCACTAAACTTAGCACACGTCATTCTAGACTTAATTCAGTTCGCTATGCAAAAATTCGTGCAAATCGAATGATTTTTAGGGACTTTGGTGCACTATTTACCTAAAATCGGGCGAAACTATATATGGGAGCTATATCTAAATCTGAACCGATTTTCAAGAATTTTTACACACATCATTCTAGACTAAATCCAGTACACAATGCCAAATTTCGTGCAAATCGAAGGACATATGGGAACTTTGGTACACCATTTACATTAAATCGGGCGAATCTATATATGGGAGCTATATCTAAATCTGAACTGATTTTCACTAAACTTAGCACACGTCATTCTAGACTTAATTCAGTATACGTACTGCCCGTAAATGTTCAAAAGGACGCCTGCGAGGAGGTCAAGAAATAGTGTGGCGTTAAAGTTTGTCACGAAATAATTCGACAGACTATATTAAAAAAACAAATACTCATCAAGAGCAGCACGCAAAACCGCTTTATTGTTTGAAAGTTTCATACCAGGTTTTATATTGGGACGACGTTATATTTTGCGATGAAATTAAAAATGATTTTTTGGCACAAGCCTTTAAAAGCACGATCAAGCACAGACGTGGAGACTTAGCTTTTATAGCAAATAAGATAGAAGCACAACAGTCTCGATTTAAAATTTTCAAGATTTGAAGTTTGAAGACTTAGAAGAGAAGAAAAGTAATTTACAAAATGTTTTTGTTATTGTTTTGTTGTTGTCCTTATTTTTAATGGTGGTCACTGAACTGAAACATCGGAATTCGAAAATTCCAACGCAGTATGAATTAGGATTATTGACTTCGCTCAAAAATTAAAAAAATGGCGGACCTTTCAAAAAATATTTTTGGAAAATCGCCTATTTTTGATCACAAACTATGTTAATAAATAAGGTAGATCTTCAACGATACGATAGCTATATAGTCACAGAAAAACTTATCAACATTTGGGTTATTAGTTTTTGAGTTATCGTGACCGCCATTCGCAAAAACACTGTAGGGAGAAAACTGGTATGGAGTTTGAGAAGCACTCTTGCCGTCATGTGATGCTAACACAATGAATCACTTGAATTTTTTAGGGACATTCTTGAATTAATGTAGATTCGAATTAAATAAAAAAACAACAAAATTATATATTTTTGTTTTTACCGAGAACATCCTCTTAAAGAAACATTTGGTAACGAGTGCTACGAAGTTTGGGTTCATCATGATGTATGTAGCCGATGTGGGATAAGGAAGAGAAATAATATACAAACAATTTTTGTTGTTGTTTTTTGTGATCAAAGTTATAGCCTAAGATAGATGACAGCATTAATTTAAAATTCTAGATTATCCATCATTCATCTTTATGTGTGATTAATGCACAAAATCAAACTGAAAATAAAATAATAAATTAACGAAATAATACAAATTTCAATATTCTTTCACATTGGGAGCGGTTTTGCTAGGAATTACATATTTATAAAATAGATACATGACCTAAAGGAAAAGTAGCAGCTATGACTACTTTTCCTTTAAGTCATGCATCTATTTTATAAAGATGTAATTCCGAAAAATTATTGTTTTGAAGCAAACACTTATACGTTATTATATACAGGGATCTAGATATTCAAATAAACATTCAAACGGGCGCGGTAGCGGTCCTCTTATTGCTTTGAAATTGTACATGAAGTTCCGGTTATAGTCAAGAACGACGGCAATAACTTTCGGTAATGATTATTTGAAATTTAAGGCGTGAGATGAACCATTCGTTTCCTGTCTGGTTTTTTAGAACCTCTAAAAGGTTAAAAATCGCGAAATATGGCACAGGTAGTTGTGTAGGGTTTCATATGGTCGGGATATATGAAATTTCTATAAATCTTATGACAAATTTAAGGCTAATAAGTGAAAACGTTCAAAAATCTGACCAAATTCGTATTAGAAAATTTTAAGACGGGTTTGAATTGCTGTTTTTTCACGAACAGCTCAGTGAGAAAGACCAACGTATACCGACTTCTCGAAACCCTGTTTTCACGAATGGCGAGCATTCTCTACGTACAATTCTCATATGAAATGGTATAAATGTAATCAATGAAGATCTTCTTAATTGTCTAACTCGATTTAGGTCGAAAAATGTTCAATCAATTTTATGCGATGCTAATAAACCTAATGCATACCAGAGCCAGACATGTACTCTTTCGAATGTCATTGGAATCTTACGTTCCAGTGATCGGAAATTGTGCCCGTCGTCGAAAAGAAGAACTTTTCGTTAATTACAAATAACAACAACATTATGTCAATTTATTTTCTTACCTTTTAAGTTTTCAAGATATATACGTCATTCTAGGCTTAATTCAGTACGCTATGAAAAATTTTGTGCAAATCGAATAATTTTCAGAGACTATGGTGCACCAATTACCTAAAATTGGATTTTCACGAAACTTTGCACACATCATTCTAGACTTAATTAAGTAAGCTGTGCCAAATTTCGTGCAACTCGAAAGATATATAGGGACTTTGGTACACAATTTACCTTAAATCGGACGAAGATATATATGGGAGCCATATCTAAATCTGAACCGATTTTCACGAAACTTGGCAGTCATCATTCTAGACCCTATTCATTACGCTAGCAAAATTTCGTGCATGCCAATAGATTTCCAAGGACTTTAGTTGGACTATTTACCTAGAATCGGGCGAAGCTATATATGGAAGCTATATCTAAATCTGGACCGATTTTCTCAAAACTTTTCACACACCATTCTATAATTAATTCAGTACGCTATGACAAAATTCGTGCAAATCAAAAGATTTCCAGGGACTTTAGTGGACTATTTACCTAAAATAGGGCGAAGCTATATATGGGAGCTATATCTAAATCTGAACCGATTTTTGCAAAACTTTGCACACATCATTCTAGACCTTATTCATTACGCTGTGCCAAATCGTGCAAATCGAATAATATATAGGGACTTTGGTGCACCATTTACCTTTAATACGACGAAAATATATATGGGAACTATATCTAAATCTGAACCGATTTTTCCCAATTTCAATAGGGTTCGTCCTTGGGCCAAATAAGTGACCTATGTCAAATTTCATCCAAATCGGATCATAAATGCGACCTGTACTTTGTTCACAAAAATACATGGACGGACTGACGGACATGCATAAATCGACTCAGAAAGTGATTCTATGCATAATCTCAAAAGGAACCATGGGTCTATCTCGTTTCCTTTTGCCTGTTACAAACATATGCACAAAGACATAATACCCTGTACCATAGTGTGGTGAAGGGTATAACAACTACATTTATTGCCGGCACAATGGTATCACCCGATTTTCGGAATTTGGAAAGCCTTTGCTGCAGTTTTCATCAATGTCAATGAAAATGGGTGAGATATTACCCATTTAGGTTTCGAGATGATTTTGTGTGTGTTTGGTTTTTAGGCTTTTCGATTTTTGTCTTTGACTAAAAAGTAAATTTTTTGATCTTTCAATTTTGTAAAACCTGTTAAAAATGGAAGATTTTTGACTTTTACCGATTAATGGCAACATCGACTAAAAATTAATTTTTTTATATGAATTGTTGTGAACAATTAAAATAAAAAAAACCTGAAATGTGTAATTTTAGGGCAATTTTGACTTTTTTCTAATAAACCAAGTATATATGAAGAAAATTTATAGTCTATCTTGAAAAGTCGACTTTGTGATTTCCTCGAAGTCGACTTCGGCTTTTAGACTTTTTAATACAAAAAATCGATTAGTTGAACATCGGTGAAACATAAAATTCCTTAAGAGATGTTCGCTCTACAAGATCCCATAATATTGTCAAATTACAAAAACTCCAGTTGCAAATTCAACTAAAACCTTCAAAATACCGGAACCTTTACATGGAGTTTATGCCAACACAGCAACCTATTTCGAAAAAATAGGTTGGAAAATTCGGAAGTTATATCAAAAATGTGGACATACACTGGTGGCCAGAACTAAAGCAACTAAAATTGCAAGGTTTATAATTCAATTCGATTTTGACTTACTTTGACAAGATGAAATATAAAAGTAGATAGAAACTGATACAGTACTACGATAAAACAGCAATTGCCTGTGATTCAATGGAATTTGTGAACTGCTTATCGTTGGATATAACCTCTAGAAACGAGCGTGATGACGAGATATGGTAGCCGCCATAAATGCCCAGAAGCTATCTAGAAATCCTTTTTATTTCTGAAAAAATCGGAAAGCCAGATTGCCTTTTGCAATATTAAATGGAATTCGATCAGTGGATAAATGTTATGCTCTCGGATGAATTAAAGTTAAATATTAAAGACTTAGACAAAAGAACATTACCGTGAGAGTGTCCAAAAAGCAAAAGCTCCTGCCACAGTATTGCAAGGGTGCTGGGAAACATGGGGGATGGTCAATTATGGTATTGGACTATTTTTCTTTGTATGGAGTTCGATATATTTATGAGATTTACAAAGTAATGGATCGGATTGTTTACATAAATGTGTTGGAAAACGCAATGGTTACCTCCGCTGAAGAAAATATACCGCTTATTTGGGTGTTTCAGCTTGACAAAAACCTCCAAACATACAACAAACATGTCAAAGATTGGTTGGAGGAAATCAAAATCAGGATTTTATAATGGCCAACAAAATCATCAGATCTTTAAAAATCTTTGGAGTAAGTAGATAGCAATATTAAAAAAGTTTCACAAACAAACGGATATAACCTTTTCTCAAAGGTTCAGGATGAAAGGAATATATACCCATATGGACACTTTTTTTCGAAAAAATATAAAATCATCTTAAATATTAAGTGGTTATTTATACTCTTTCGAGTCGAGCTTGATGATCTATGTTTTGCAATGAAAAGGAAAGCCAGGAGAAGAACCTACGTACCCACCATTATGCGACGCGTTTCGCCGTTGGTTAAGCGGCTCATCAGGCATATTGGGCTATGTGGCTTTACAAATGTCGTACGTTGATAACTTGTATTTATTCCGCCCTGATGCGAAACTTGCATATGCGAATTAAATTCAAATTTGTCAAAGTTCGACATTTGTCTTCATTCTAGGAACAGTCCTTTTCAAAGCAGATTTTTGTTGTAGCGATATAATTAATCCACACACCTACAATTGCTTCCTGGTATACACATGTTTTTGCGCAACCATTTTGGAAGTGTTGATGGCTCAGAACGTTAAGCGGTCTTAACATTTGTGTTGCTCTCTAGGTTCGAGCCCTAGCCGTGCTTGGCTGAAATTAATTTTGTGTTATTTGAATTTTGCCTTGTAAGGGCAGTGATCATTTGAAACTAATTTTAAGTGGTTATTTATACTCTTTCGAGTCGAGCTTGATGATCTATGTTTTGCAATGAAAAGGAAAGTCAGGAGAAGAACCTACGTACCCACCATCATCTTAAATATATTATTTTAGTAAAATAGACTTTTTCCATTAGAAGTTTAGAAGTACATTTGACATTCCGCAAAATCGTAGTATTGGGTTTTAACAAATACTTTTCCCTTTCGAAAATAATATTTTCTTCTTGGTCGAAACCTAACACTATTTCACTGCTATTGGAATGTTTATTTTAAATATTTGAGTTTAATTATATTTCAATTATACCGAAATTAAGAAAACTAAGGAAACTGAAGAGGATCAGTGGCGAGATCCGAAACTATAGACTTCCCTGCCATAGCCCTCGGCGGACTTTCCCCACTAATAAATAGTTGTTTTTTATAAAGCAACATAATGGGATTCAGTCTGACTATTTTGCAAAAACAAAATACAAATGATATCCCAAATAACCCGCCATCACTACTGTTTTTATATAATTAAAAATGATCGGCAATGATTATAATCTATATTAGGGTTATACCTTACTTTCAGACTCGAATAAATTGTGATATGAATGACTTTGACTATATATATTTTACAAATGCACATCAAATGTTAAATAGACTATGTAAATGGGAACTTGAAGAAAGCTCAATAACAAGGAGAAATCGATTATCTGCAATACCTAGCCTGTATTGTTCAAATCTGAACTGACGCTTGTTTGGATTTTTGAAATAATTTTCTAAAATAGTGATTTACTAATTAATTTTATACCTTGAAAAATTGAACGATGTTATGATATATTTTATTTCATTCTTCCAAAATTTAGTAAAAAAAAAAACTAACTGACCTACCCTTTGTAGGGTATCACAATGCAGATGCCCTTTGGCCATAAAATGCAGCTAGCATATGATAGTAACAACAAACATTTTACGTATGACATTTTTGTTTCGGTTTTTTTTGTTCCAAAGGGAATTAGGGGATTATCGCATTAGACTTAATGTTCGACATAAAAGAGAATAAGTGTTCTACATTTGTAAAAACCGATTAATTGGAAGGTCACAATGGTGAGTGCCTTTTGACATGGACAGCCAGGCAAACTGGCAGATTGCCTTCATGCCAACACACCGGTAATGCGTGAATAAATTGTTGCTAAACTCAATCAAATGCATTTGACATGCAATATTTTGCGTAATGACTATAATTGTCATACGAGTATGCTTGGGGTATATATATGTCGGAAATGGTAAATTTAGTTAAAAATTAGTCGGTTTGGTTGTATATGAGACATGTCAAGTGGTTTTAATTTTAATAGATTTTTTAAAGAAAAAAAAGGATATAAAAATAAAATAATTCGCTATGGACATGTAAATCATACCTAGGTCTTTAATATATTTTTTACCGCATAGCTACATGTTTTCAGGCAATAGTCGGGATGCCATACATGGCTAGGTTCTCAGGAATTATCCGGATTCCACAAAATATATTATCATGCCGCCATCAAGATAAAAAGATTTATGTGTGACAATTTCGTTGAGTTCTGAAATGTGTATCATTAGAGGCCAATTTTTGGGCGTCTCCACTTGCTAAAGGTCATTCTGAATTATATTCGTTAATACTAAGTTCAATATTACCATGACATCTCAGGTTAGGGCAATACAAATAAGATTTATTTTATGCATCCTAAAAATTATTTAAATATATAGAATACAAAATTAAATATAGTTTTCCTTTTCTAAATGAATGCTAAAATATATTTAATCCAGAGTTCGTATGGCATGATAAACATTTTAATTACAAAAACAATCGGAAATTAATTTAAATGTAATGCCTTTTTCTAACATTTTTTTATTCTACTAAAAATTCTAAATTACTTTAAAATCGTGATAAGTTTTTATAAAATCAACTAATGTTCGACTTACATTTTTGCAGACAGCAAGACATCGCAAACGGACGAAGAGAAACAGCGCGATCGTCAGCGCAGCGAAAGGGAAGCTAAAAAAGAAGAACAGGACGCGATAAATTACAAGGTAAATCACAATACAAAAATAAAATTAATATCAACTACTTCAATTATAAAAAAAATTATATTTTGTATTCCTTGCAGAGAGACAAAGACGCCCGTGAAGCCCGTTTATTGGATTTTGAAATACGACGGCAGCAGGAACGTGAAAAGAAAAAAGAAGAGCAGAAAATTATACATCAACAGCATCAGCAGTTGCGTGACCAACAACATCAGCAGCAACAACAACAGCAGCAAAGCGGTGAAAGTCCACCCACAACCTCGAGTCTAGCTCAGCAGCAGCAACAGCATCAACAAGAACAGCAGGAGGAACAAGATCCGGAAAAGCAACATCTTATCGGTGGTAGTAGCAGTGCTCCAACACCGATCATACCCACACCACCAGAACGTGGTCTACCGCCAGCTTTTCGCAGTCGTTCCATAGAACGTGAACATCTTTACGAAAGGAAGCGGCAATTGTCCACGGCCGATACACACGACTATAAAGTGAGTAATAATAGGAAATAACATATACACATTCTTTAAAAAATCCAGGACCTACGTCCATATAAATTCAAAAAAAAAAAAAAAAAATCCAGGATATACCTCCATACACATAAAAAAACCCACGCCTTATAATCCTTTAAAGTCCATTTAAAAGATTCTTAACATTTCTCTAATAAATCCTTAAATCCTCTTCAACTTCGTTTAGAAATCCACGCCTTAAAATCCTTAAAAGTCCATTTAAAAGATTCTTAAAATTTCTTTAACAAATCGACTCTTTAAAATCCTTAAAAGTCCCTTTAAAAGATCCCTAAAATTTCTTTAAGGAATCCAAGCCTTTAAATCCTTAAAAGATCCTTAAATTTTCTTAAGGAATCCACGCCTTTAAATCCTTAAAAGATCCTTAAAATTTCTTTAAGGAATCCGCGCCTTTAAATCCTTAAAAGATCCTTAAAATTTCTTTAAGGAATCCACGCCTTTAAATCCTTAAAAGATCCTTAAAATTTCTTTAAGGAATCCAAAACTTTAAATCCTTAAAAGATCCTTAAAATTTCTTTAAGAAATCCACGCCTTTAAATCCTTAATAGATCCTTAAAATTTTTTTGAGGAATCACGCCTTTAAATCATTAAAATTTCTTTAAGGAATACACGCCTTTAAATCCTAAAAAGATACTTAACATTTTTTTAAGCAATCCACGCCTTTAAACCCTTAGAAGATCCTTAAAATTTCTTTAAGGAATCCTTAAAAGATCCTTAAAATTTCTTAAAAGATCCTTAAAATTTCTTTAAGGAATCCACGCCTTTAAATCCTTAAAAGATCCTTAAAATTTCTTTAAGGAATACACGCCTTAAAATCCTTAAAAGTCCATTTAAAAGATCCTTAAAATGTCTTTAACAAACCTACGCCTTGAAATCCTTAAATTCCATTTAAAAGATCCTTAAAAACCTCTTTAAAGCATCCAAAAGCCCATTAGAAAGATCCTTTAAAAAATCCACGCCTTATATCCTTTAAAAAAATCCACGCCTTATATCCTTTAAAAAAATCCACGCCTTATATCCTTTAAAAAAATCCACGCCTTATATCCTTTAAAAAAATCCACGCCTTATATCCTTTAAAAAAATCCACGCCTTATATCCTTTACAAAAATCCACGCCTTATATCCTTTAAAAAAATCCACGCCTTATATCCTTTAAAAACAATCCACTCGTTATATCCTTTAAAAAAATCCACGCCTTATATCCTTTAAAAAAATCCACGCGTTGTATCCTTTAAAAAATCCACGCCTTATATCCTTTAAAAAAATCCAAGCCTTATATCCTTTAAAAAAATCCACGCCTTATATCCTTTAAAAATATCTGCGCCTTATATCCTTTAAAAATATCCGCGCCTTATATCCTTTAAAAATATCCGCGCCTTATATCCTTTAAAAATATCCGCGCCTTATATCCTTTAAAAATATCCGCGCCTTATATCCTTTAAAAGTATCCGCGCCTTATATCCTTTAAAAATCCACGCCTTATATTATATCCTTTAAAAATATCCGCGCCTTATATCCTTTAAAAATATCCGCGCCTTATATCCTTTAAAAATATCCGCGACTTATATCCTTTAAAAATATCCGCGCCTTATATCCTTTAAAAATATCCGCGCCTTATATCCTTTAAAAATATCCGCGCCTTATATCCTTTAAAAATATCTGCGCCTTATATCCTTTAAAAATATCCGCGCCTTATATCCTTTAAAAATATCCGCGCCTTATATCCTTTAAAAATATCCGCGCCTTATATTCTTTAAAAATCCACGCCTTATATACTTTAAAAATATCCGCGCCATATATCCTTTAAAAATCCACGCCTTATATTATATCCTTTAAAAATATCCGCGCCTTATATCCTTTAAAAAAATCCACGCCTTATATCCTTTAAAAAATCCACGCCTTATATCCTTTAAAAAATCCACGCCTTATATCCTTTAAAAAATCCACGCGTTGTATCCTTTAAAAAATCCACGCCTTACATCCTTTAAAATATTCACGCCTTATATCCTTTAAAAATCCACGCCTTATATCCTTTAAAAATCCACGCCTTATATCCTTTAAAAATCCACGCCTTATATTATATCCTTTAAAAATATCCGCGCCTTATATTATATCCTTTAAAAATATCCGCGCCTTATATCCTTTAAAAATATCCGCACCTTATATCCTTTAAAAATATCCACGCCTTATATCCTTTAAAAATATCCGCGCCTTATATTATATCCTTTAAAAATATCCGCGCCTTATATTATATCCTTTAAAAATATCCGCGCCTTATATCCTTTAAAAATCCGCGCCTTATATTATATCCTTTAAAAATCCGCGCCTTATATTATATCCTTTAAAAATATCCGCGCCTTATATCCTTTAAAAATATCCGCGTCTTATATCCTTTAAAAATATCCGCGCCTTATATCCTTTAAAAATATCCGCGTCTTATATCCTTTAAAAATATCTGCGCCTTATATCCTTTAAAAATCCACGCCTTATATTATATCCTTTAAAAATATCCGCGCCTTATATCCTTTAAAAATCCACGCCTTATATTATATCCTTTAAAAATATCCGCGCCTTATATCCTTTAAAAATCCACGCCTTATATTATATCCTTTAAGAATATCCGCGCCTTATATTATATCCTTTAAAAATTTAAGAATGTCCGCGCCTCATATCCTTTAAAAATCCACGCCTTATATTATATCCTTTAAGAATATCCGCGCCTTATATTATATCCTTTAAAAATTTAAGAATGTCCGCGCCTCATATCCTTTAAAAATCCACGCCTTATATTATATCCTTTAAGAATATCCGCGCCTTATATTATATCCTTTAAAAATTTAAGAATGTCCGCGCCTCATATCCTTTAAAAAATCCACGCCTTATATCCTTTAAAAATCCACGCCTTATATCCTTTAAAAAATCCACGCCTTATATCCTTTAAAAATCCACGCCTTATATCCTTTAAAAAATCCACGCCTTATATCCTTTAAAAATCCACGCCTTATATCCTTTAAAAAATCCACGCCTTATATCCTTTAAAAAATCCACGCCTTATATCCTTTAAAAATCACAGACATATATCCTTAAAAATCCCTATCGTTTATCCTTAAAAATACTATAAAAAATCTACGCCCTTTATCCTTAAAAATTCTTAAAAAACCCCAACCTAATATCCTAAAATTCTTTGAAAAATCCTAAGATTGTTAGAGAGGGGAATGAATATAAAAAAAGGAAGAGGAAGAAATAAATTTCCCTGTGTATAAAAAAATAAACCTCTACCACCCTTTCGATTTCACCCACTCAAAGTAGGGTTGCAGGGTATAATTATGTAAATTAGTATTTGTAAATCATGTCAGGTTCAAAAAAGCTCATTACATACTTTTTTAAACGTTATTTTTGAATATTGTAATTAATCAAACGTGGTTAATTGAATTTTAATTATATTGAGTGTATGTGTGTGCGCGTTGTTGTTTTTTTTACAGAAGCCGCTAAGTACGACACCATCGCCACAGGCAATAACTGGACCACCACCGCCTCCTACACCATCAGCAGCGGTGGTGGCGGGCCCACCGGCAACAGCTGCAGCTGCCACAGCTGCTATAATCCCTATTCTACCATTAGGGGTTGCCACATTACGTGATGACTCCACCGAATCAGAAGAACAGTCCATGACATGTACTCATGGGCATGCGGAGTCATGTCATCGCATTATGTGAGTACTTAAAATTTAAGTTATTCCGAAATAGATTTAAGGCCATACAAAAGGGGTTCTATTTCAAAAAGAAAAACAATGTTTAGCAATAATTCCGGAAATATTAACTGGCCAGGTCTATTGTGTAATTTACGCATCGATAACTTGATTACTGTGATGACCTCATTAGAGGATTTACATGGTAAAGAATGCAGTTGCTTTTTAAGTTAACAACATCAAGGTAAAAACCCTTACCACAACTTAAGTGCATGGAGAGAGGAAAAGAGAGTGAATGCGGGGTAGAGTGTGCTAAACAACAATAGAAAATTTAACCAAGGTGTATAACGCTCTGCAAGTATTTCCACTTTTATCAAGGCATCAGTGGCTGTAAACCCCCCGCTTACAACACCATGCAAGTACTGTTGTTGTGGTGCTGCAACAACAACACATTCCAGTCATCTTCATTAGCATCAGCCAGCCAACCAGCTTAAAACATGTTTCTCATTGTTTGTAACTATGTTTTAGTGGCTCACTAGCTGCTCGGCTGGTACTTTGTTTTTGTTTTTTGCCTTCGCAGGAATTCGTACGCTTCAAGGATTATTTTATTTTTTAATTAAATCAGGTTGAAAAGCTTTTTAACAAGTCCATGGACTTTATTGATCTAACATGCAGCAATAGAAGAGCCGGGCGGAAAAAAGAGGGATTAAAACAAAAAATATATAGCAAAACAACAGCAACAACAAAACATTTAACATCGTTATTTAATTAGTCCAACATTTGATGAAGAGCCAAAACTATTGCGCAGAAAATCGAAAATTTCATTGAAATTATTTTTGAGGGAAAAAATCGTTGTTTAATTGGCTTCGATTTCAAGTGAATTTTTTACGTGGAAATGTATTTTTAGTGTTTTGTTTGAAACAGGAAGAGAGTCTGTCCACAGAAATATTTTATTTGAAAAAGAGGAGTAATGTTATTGAAAAATCCTTTCATATAATTTCATAGAAACCCATTTATATATCCAAGGCCAACATATATAATAAATGGCTCGAAAATTCATATGATTTGCAGATTGCCTCATCTGAATAAATATTGAAGGACAAAAATACAGTTGATGGTAAAATATGGAATAGTTTTCAGAAACTGTCCCAGATAATTGGCATTTCAAGTTTAGAAATTGTAAAATAGATACCATATGATCAAATTAACAGAAATCCTCAAATGTATTAGCGCCAAATGTACCAACAACCGTAGTGCTGTACCAATTGCAGAAGGCACCATCACCCCCCTGACAAGGGACGAAAAAACAAACCCAATTTCAGGGATATATTAAGAGTATGCAGTAGGGAAAATCTACTCGTACACCTACATACAATAAAAAAAAACAGTAAGGAAAGAAGTAAAGTCGGGCGGGGCCAACTATATGATATCCTTCACCACTTTGGGTATATTCAACAGATGAATCCTAACAGACTGAAGGACCATTAACACGAAATGGATCCATAAACATGACATTCTGCAACCTATACTAATTTTTTCATTTGGTCAGATATAGGGTTGCTTCAATTTAAAGAATATATATCTAAGCTATATCAAAAATCTGAACCGATTTCAATGCTACTTGGCGGAGATTAACTTATATTAACTACAGTTCATTGTACAAAATTGTGCGGCAATCGGACAAACTGCGGGTCTTTAGTGCAGAATTTACATATAACCGAAAGAAAAAAATATAGTAGCCATATCTAAATCTGGACCGATTTTCACGAAACTTAACACACATCATTCTAGACCTAATTCAGTACGTTGTGCCAAATTTCGTACAAATCGAAAGATATATAGGGACTTTGGTACCACATTTACATAAAATCGGATGAAAATATATATGGGAGCTATATCTAAATCTGAAACGATTTTCACGAAACTTAACACACATCATTCTAGACCTAATTCAGTACACTGTACAAAATTTCGTGCAAATCGAAAGATATATAGGGATATATATGTCAGCTATATCTAAATCTGAACCGATTTTTCCCAATATCAATTTCTCGGCAAAAGATAACACGACCCAAACACCAACATCCTCAGAGAACTTAGTGGAAATCCATAGATGAAACAACCCATGAGCCCAATCATCGATATCCAAATTCAAACCACACTTATGCTTGTAAAGTCCTACATTCCATTGTATAGCTTTAAATCCCACTATATAGCCGAACCTAAGACATATTTTGAAATAAATGACAAATTTGTTTATTACGTAATCATGGATTTTATTAGAAGAGCATTCCAATCCGGATAATACGTTTGTTTTTGAATGTCCGAAAATCCATGTCAGAATTACTTACTGAATCATTGCATTATGAATTCAGCAGAGCAAGTGCGTATGGACCAGATCTAAGCGAGGAGGTATACCGATCGATCTAGGCGGGTAGACATCATTCGGAAAAGTTGCATTTTTTGACTATTAAATCAATTATACTGATGCATGTGGATACCTCGTTTAATTCGTTTTTATACCCTACACAACTATGTTGTCAGGGTATTATAGCTTTATGCAGCCCCAAAAGTTTGTAACGTCACGTTGTCATATCTCGACTATCTGAGTTGATACAGGCCACAGTTATGGACCAATCTTCACGAAATTTTACATGTAGGATGCGTTCTGGCCAATGAAGACCCCTATTGTTTTTGGTAAAGATCGGTTAATATCTAGGGGATGAAATGGACCAAATACTTAATTTTTATCGGTTTTTCTGGTCGCTCTAGAGGCCGCAATTATGACCCAAACATCGCTAATTTTTACATAGAGAAGGGAATCCGGCCAACGAATAAGGATGCCTGTTTTGATAAGGATCGGTCAACATTTAGCGGGTCAAATTGACCCTGACTTTTGTGTGAAAAATTACAAAATTTGTATTCTATAGCGTATAGATTTACCCCTGAAGGACATAGACCGGAAAAGTTGTTGGTATATTCAAGGGCAGTGGTTGACTTTAAATTGATACCAATTATATGGTCGTGTGTACTCAGATGTGGGAGTTACACTGAAATATTTACAGGTGCTTACATATCACATCATCATATATTATTGAGTAATCCATTACCACACTAGAGGGCGGATATATAGCGCTGATCGCTTTGAAGCTTTCCATGAGGATCCAGGTATGGTCAACTACAACGGCTATTATTTTCGGTGATGATCAGATAATAATTTTGGGATGAATTGGACCGAAAACTTAATTTTTGTTTTTTTCGGGTCGATCTGTAGGCCACAATTGAAAGCCAAACATAACAACACAACCCACCGTGAAGGGAATCTGTACTGAATATTAGTAATATTTGTTAACCTCTAGTCGGTCAAGAGGATGCAATTATCGCGAAATGTTGCCAAGATCAGAATATATAACACCAGAAAGTTAGATTTTCGTGGAAGTTGTGTAGGGTATCATATGGTCGGCCCCGTCCGACTATACTGCTCCGCTCACTGGTTTATCATTAAAGAAATTTTGCAATGCAAGAAAAAGATGATGATGCATTAAAACTTCTCAAACAAGCTTTTCAAGTTTCTGACGAGTCACTGTAGATTTGTGTGGCCTAGCGTTGTCCTGGTAAAACACGACACCTCTTCTGTTGGCCAATTATGACCGTTTCTGGTCAATTGTAAATGGTTTAAAACAGTTTTATGGTCGATTTTTAGCTCCTGGGCGATGTTACGACTGCTAACATGCCTGTCAACTTCAATCATTTCTCCGATTTTATTGACATTTTCGACGACAGGCCTACCTGTGCGAGGTGCATGTTTAACATAAAAAAATTTTGAACGGAATCTACGAAACCAAAATCGCCTTTGTCAACTGGAAACTGTACCGAATTTCCTCTTTGTTCACTTCCATTTTTAAAAACCTTGTAACTCACAACTGAATGCACCAAATATTTTGTTTACTGTGAAATTTCGAACTTCCAACGAGCGTGAATCTGAAATTGTTTGATCGATACTTTACGAGAAATCTATCAGTAGAGCCATCTGCCGAAAGAAAAATGGATTTATTTTTCCCCAACCTAATATTTTTTCCCCCAAGAATTTATTTTTTCCAAAGAATTTCGTGGGTTTACACTGCCCATGACCTCAGTTGTAGACGGGATGCATTAAGGGGACTCCCCCCCATTCACGGGGTCAAAATGTTTGTTGATATAATTGGAATCTACACTGATTAAAGAATGTCTCTACAAAATTTCAAGTGAAAATTTCAAGAACTCTTGAAGATACAGTCGATTTATTGTGTCAGCATCAAGTGGCGGCTGCAGGGCTTCTCAAACTTTAAACGCGTTTTTCTCTAAACATCTTTTTGCGAATGGCGGGCACGATAACTAAAAAACTAATAATCCAATCGGTTCCAAATTTTGCAACGTTTCTCTGGGAGTGTATAACTCTCGTATGAACTAGGATAAAGCCAATCGGTGAAGATCTTCCTTATTTTTTAACTTGGTTTTTGGTAAAAAAATCGGCGATTTCCAAAAAATATTTTTTCAAAGGTTCACCATTTTTTTAATTTTAGAGCGAAGTCAATAATCCTAGTTCATTCGAGAGCCAGACATGTACTCTTTCTAACACCGTTGGAATTTTCGGATTCCGATGTTCCAGTGAGGAGTTATCATGCCCGCCATCAAAAATAAGGACTTTTCTTTAATTACAAAAAACAACAACAAAACAATAACAAAATTTTTTTGTAAATTATTTTTCTTCTCTTTTAATCTTCAAATATATATGTACAAAGCTACAAACCTTAACAAGCATTTGTATTCATTTACCAGCCCATTGCAAATCTTGAAAAATTAAAATCGAGAATGGGGGGGTTCCCTTCAAAGGTTTGGCATTATCTACATCTATTGCAGTTCGGTCGGCGATTATTTTTTACTATCTCGTTTCTTACTATTTCTACGTGACTTGGTAACCATATGATTCGTACGAGACCATGCCGCGAAAAATTATTTATGGCGTTTATACATTCTAGTTCATCCTGACCAGAGTTTGTACTAAAAACTATTGTGATCTGGAAGGTGAAGTGAAACTTCGGTTTTAGATTATTCAATGACAAATTACAGTCCAACTTTCTGCTGTGTAACAAGAATTACCAGGGGTATTATTTTATTGTGTTCCGCTATCCCGCGAGTCCATGTCTGGTATCCACGTTTCACATGATGTGACTATTCTATGCAGGTATTCTATTTCAGGTATTCTGTCCGACACAAAACTACTAATTGGGGATCCGATTGTTGTATGTACTATATTTTGTCTACCCATTCCAGCATGTGGTATTTTTGTTTAAGTTTTCGGTCTAGGATGACCCCCAAATATTTAACTTTATTTGATATGGTTATCACTTTGTTCTGAAAGAGGGGTTTTTTATACTGTCATATTTTTCTCTTTCTAGTGAAGAGACATATCTGCGTCTAGGCCGGATTTACGTAAAGGCTATTCTGCCTCGCCCTATTATTGGTGATGTTTAACACCGTTTCAGTCTTCCTACACAAAAAGCTTGGATTATTTCCAGCCAGAAGTATTATAATGTCGTGTGCATAACAGACGAGTTTAAATTTCTCCTCAGATGAGGTCCTTAAGAGACTATTCACAGTTGTGATGGTGATAAAATCGGAGATATGTCTCGTCTGGGCCGGATTTACGTAAAGGCTCTTCCGCCTCGCCCTATTATTGGTGATGTTTAACACCGTTTCAGCCTTCCTACACAATAAGTTTGGATTATTTCCCGTCAGAAGTATTATAATGTCGTGTGCATAACAGACGAGTTTAAATTTCTCCTCAGATGAGGTCATTAAGAGACTATTGACAGTTGTGATGGTGATAAGTCTCTCTTATCCAACTTTATTTGTTTGATATTTATGTCTTGTAGAGTTTATCCACCTATTCCTACTCATGTAGCTGATTCAGGCTATGATTACCTGGTGAACTCGAAAGGTCTCTAGGGTTTGAATAAATGTTGCAGTGCCGACATTATTGAAAACTCCCTCGATATCTATGCATACAGCTAAAGTAAACCTACATCGATCATGGTTTCGGTTTGAGTATCGGTTTTTGATAGAAACATCTTTATATTTGAGACGTCAGGTATTGCGTGTATTTGTTGTATTCTTTCCTTTTAGAATAATCTTGGACGTAGCTCAAATTAGTACTGTACACATTCTTCTCTTTTGTTCCGATATTAAAAAGTCATAAGTTTTTCTTTACCAAAAATTTCCTTGTCCTTTCCATAATCAGGCCTTGAACGTATGCAAAGTTGATCATTTAATTAATATATAATTACTAGCAGTATATTAAATATTAGCTCTAAAACATTTTCTTGCCTGTGGGCAACATTGGGCCACAAAGGGTTAAGATACTATTGACAGTTGTGATGTCGAAAAAATCTCTCTCCCTCTCTCTCTCTGCGGTGTCCCTTATCCTACTTTATTTGTTTGATATTTATGTCTTGTAGGCTACAGTTTATCCACCTATTCCTAAGCATGTGGCTGATTCAGGCTATGATTTTGGAAAAGATTGGTTAATATTTAGGGGATGTAAACCTACATCTATCATTTTTGTCGGTTTTTCTGAGACGTCCAGAGTGTCGCGTGTACCGGTTCCCAAACATTTTGCGAATTTTTGCATGGAGAAGAAGACTTCTGGAGGCCAGAGATCTGTATAATGTTTTGATAAAGATCTTCACTTTTGTTCAAATCGACCCTGACTTTTGTGTGAAAAATGACAAAATTTGTATTCTATGCCATATATATTTACTCCTGGAGGATGAAAGACTTTACCATTATGTCTGTTAAATTGTTGCATTCCTGTCCAAGAGCTGTCATAGATGTGTTGGCCTTTAAATTGATAACAAATATTTATGTATTTACTCAGATGTGGGAGTTACAGTCAAATATTTACAGGTGCTTATGTATGGCAGATATTATTTAGTAACCCGTTACCACAGGGAGAATCGCGCTGATGGCTTTGAAATTTTTCATGAAGTTCCAGTTATTCAAGAACAACGCCTATTAATTTTCCTGATGATCAGATTAAAATTTTAGTGAAATCGTCTCTAAAACATTAATTTTTTGTGTGTTTGCTTATGTTAAGTGCAATCCGAAAATCACAACAAACCCACCGTGAAGGTTTCCTGACAAGTAATTAGAAGGACTGTTGAATATTCGAAAAAATAGGCATTTTTAACCCAAAAACTTATCACACAGTGTTATATGCAGAATTTTTATTCTAACATGTACATGAAATTGCATTAAAAATATTCTATACCGACAATTTGTTCATTTGATCCTTTTTAGGTGAACGCCATAGTTGATCATTTAATTAATTTATTTTGTCAATGAATATTCACAAGAAAAGTATCAAAGTATCAGGTATGCTCAAAGACTCCTCTTTTTGGCCTTTAAAGAAACAAAATAAAATAAAAAACATGTTTAAGTAGCTTCACAAAAGGATTTAATATTAAATGCACTTGTGGTGCTACGACAAACAGACTATGGAGAATATGGTATCCATAGCACATCATTGTAAATGGATTATAATGACATTGGTGATGTTGCGACGAATGTTGCTGATAACAACAAGGATACTGTCATATCATGATGATATTGTTTATTGTTGTTGTCGGTGATGATAAAAAATCATGATAATGATTCTAATGCAAGTACTAATGATGATTATATGCATTTTGAATGTGTGGCCAAACAACAGAACTAAAAAAGTGTGTTAAAAGTTTGTGTGTGTGTATAGTTGTTAGTTTAACTACGTCACAAGACAGCACCCCCACATGACGCCAAAGGGGGAAACAACAGCAACTATGCTCACAACAACGGAAATTGTCTGAAAAACACAGCATAGCCTGCTCTACAACAGAAAACAGCAACATAAATTCCAACAACAACAACAAAATAAACAATTACAACAACGTTAACGTCATCATACTCTAGGTCTGTTTTTCAGGTCACCTTTTATAGCCGATATCCGCCGTGATACGAAATCCGACAAAGACGGAAAAACAGGGAAAAACTAAAACAAATATTGTCAGCTTCTGTTTTCCCCCTTTTTGTCTCTTCAGTCATTTCCTGTTTTCCGTTTAGCATTCATTTCATGGTTATTTTCTTTTTTTGTTTTCACTCTATGTTCTGTCGGTTTTTATTCTTGTTCACTGACAAATGTTATTTAAAAGAGAAACAAGAAGAAGAAGAGATGCAGGAAAAAATAACAGCCAAAAAATAAACAATTGATTTGCGCATGCTTGGACATTCTGCAAAGCATAATTTGACCAAAAGGACCTCAATGAAGAAGATGTTGTCACAGGCTCTTGTTTCGGACGCTTGACAAGGGCAAAAGCTTATTGTTATGTTGACAGGTTTAGAGCTTAATGAAAAAAGCTTTGCATATTTGTAAAGAGAATTTTAAATTTTAAAAGAGAAATTGATGTAAAACACTAATGCACAAAATAGTACGATAGCGGTGATTGCTAAACACTTATTCTCTTTTTGTCTCTTTTCGTCAGTCAATTTTGTTGATTATCTCTCAGTTACGCTCTCACATACTTACTCTCAATTTAGTTTTGTTCAACTCTGATGTAAAATAAGGCGAACAAAAGAGCAGGATGTTATTTTAAGGGAAATGTTTAAATCGAATATTCTGAAGAGAAATTCAAAAAAGAAAAGAGAAATTGGTATTAGTTGTAAAAATAAATTAGAATATATAAAGTATTCAAAACAGTATCCAAATACAAATACAATACATGTTTGAATAAAAAATTATGAATGAAGCGAACAATATTCATTACCTCTGAATGACCGATGATTTGCGGCCTGAAATCTATCACCAATGATGTTTTAAAAAAAATCTTCAAATAATTTTTGTTTATATTAGAATTCAATTTTTATAAAATTACAGATCCCTCTCTTATTTTTTCGGCAGATGGCTTTACTGATAGACTTCCCGTAAGGTATCGATCAAACAACTTCAGATTTATGCACGTTTGAAGGGTGAAATTTCGCAGTAAAAAAATTATTTTGCAGTTTTTTGTTCCGATAATGTAACAGCCAATTATGTGCAATTTTGGTTTCGTAGATTCCGTTCAGAATTTTTTTATGTTAAAGATGCACCTCGCACACGTAGGCTGGTCGTCGAAAATTTCGATAAAATCGAAGAAATGATTGAAATTGACCGGCATGTTAGCAGTCGTAACATCGCTCAGGAGCTAAAACTCGACCATAAAACCGTTTTAAACCGTTTACAATTGACCAGAAACGGTCACAATTGGCCTAAAGGAGAGGTGTCGTGTTCCACAAGGACAACGCTAGGCCACACACACCTACAGTGATTCGTCAGAAACTTCGGGAACTTGGTTGAAAGCTTTAATGTATCCGCCTTACAGTATATAGGGAGGATTGTGAAAATCGACTATTAGAGTTTTTTGCAAATAAAGAGCAGGACTTCTATGAGAGAGGCATTGTGAAGTTACCTTTAAAATTGCAACAAATCATACAACAAAACGGTGCATATTTGGCCCAAATCGGTCATTCCGAAACATGTTAAATAAAGTTCTATAGTTCATATAAAAATAATGGATTTATTTCCCCCCAACCTAATATATCGACTAGCTGAGGTAATTTAGATGTGTGTGTCCGCCCATCTGTTTGTTAACACTTAAACAATGTAACGTTCACAGCTGTTCTGGTTCCGGCTAAAGAAGATATTTATGGTGTTTGGCAAAATCGGTCAACATTTTTATATGTTTTTTTTTCTGGTCGATCTATAGGTCTCAAAATTTTACATAGAGTATACGCTAAATAATAAGAATATTGAGCAGGTCAAATCGATCAATACTTTTGTGTGAAAAATTACAAAATGTTGCATTATATGCCGTAAACATTTATTCCAGAAGGACAGAGCCCGGATGTAGGATATATACATAAATATTTACAGGGGTCTACGTATTCCAATACTGTTTAGTATTACCATATGAACGTTGGGTTCATCGGGGACAACAAACCACATTTTAGATTTTATCAGTATAATGATCCTAAGCATAAGTCACAGATAGTCCCGTGGATATAATAGAGAAGAGTACCAAAATGCAGTAGTAACCTTATTTCTAAATTTCAGTGTTTAAGCTCTTTCAGTTCCCCCAAATTCAAATTGTACCTAATACAGTACCGTGTAGTATTTTTCGTACTCATATAACACTCATACTCATACAAATATCAAAAACTACATACATATTCCAATCCTACACTCCGACTGTAATATTAATTTCTAATTTATACCAAATTTAGAACTGAGTATATACTTCCACAACCACCTCGTTATATAGACCTTACTTCTCAACCTTGATTTACACTCCAAATTTCAAACTTACAGGTCTATCCGTTGACATGCTACGAAATTGTACCAAATGTAGTGCGGATACTTATAGTTCGAATGTCCAAAAAACAATTTGCTACATGTATTCTACACTCCATCAGTGACAGTAATTTTAAATTTGAGTTTCAGCTCTACCGTTTCGCCAAATACAGTACTTAGTACTTTTCGAATGTCCAAAAAAAACCTTTGGATCAAGAGAGACCCTTATCCCAAATTTCAAGATTCTAGCTTCAGCCGTTTGGTCTGAATCGTTAAGTCAGTCAGTCACCTTACTCTTTTATTAGCATAGATTGAATTGTCAATGTCTCTGCCCTGTCGTCAGTTTACAATTGTGTATACAACTTATAGTTAATTACAAACACATGCACATAATTTTCTATTAAGAATAGAAAATTATGTGCATTATACGTATTCTATGTTCGAGTCTATTGTTACGTCTGCAAACATATTGTAATAGCGATATATATTTAGTTGTAATATTAAAAACAGATGTATATAATATAGCTTTCTATTGTTTACATCAATGGCAAAACAATTCAATTGATGGAAAATATGAATATAGTATATT